GAAGAGACAGTTTCAGTTTTTGACTTTTTTCAAATAATACTAGAATTATTTTATAGCTTTAGAAGTGCTCAGATTATGTGATTACTAATACTTATCAATAGAGAAGGTTTGAGAACCAGCAAAAAATTATGAACAAAAAAAAGTGAATTTAAAAAAAAAAAACAATGTTAGGAAACATAGCTACCATCTGGTAAATCACATTGATTACTCTGGTTATTACACGCGATAAATGTATGAAATTATGAAAAGCAAGCTAAAACATTCAAAGAGATTTGAAAGTTTAAAAAAAAAAATTTAATATTTTTTTCATGCTTTCTTATTATAACTAAAACAAAATTAAATTAAACAAAATATTTACTATAAAAATTTTTAATAACAGAAATAATAAAAAAACTTTGTAAAGATATGAGCATTTAAAGTAGTCTTTTTATACTGTGCATGATGAAAAAAAAAAAGCTTCATAATTTAGATGTGCATAGTATTCAGTAATTTATGAAAAAATCTGGTTAGAATATCTTGAAAATTTAAAAAGTTTCTAATGATTTGCTAAGTATTTTTTTAAAAGAATGCTCTGAATTACAAAGGGTTCATATTTACAGGGGTGATTGTGAGCCCAAGTCAAAATTCCGGAAAATTTCTTGAATAAAAAAAGTTTAAATCGAAAAAAAATTAAACAAGGTTTTTTTCCTTTTTTCAATATTTCTTAGTTTAATTAAAATATATTTAATATTTCACAGATTAAACTTACCTATGATGATGACCTGGAGAAGTAATTGAAATTTACAAATATGTCTTTCTTTCTTGAGTTAACGATTTATAATAACTATTTACTGATAAAAAAAGGAATATTAATCTTGAATATAAGCTTATAAAGTATCTGGCTCTCCCTTACAAACAAATAAAATAAACTGTGTTTTTAAGTTCCACCTTTGAAAATTTGATTTCAGGAAATTTTTGTGATCAATGATTTTTTGAACCTTCGATCTCTGGAAACTTCCGGAACATGGTTAGCGAAAAATCCGGAGCACAATCAGTCATGTATTTAGTATGGGGCCCGATTGTTTCATGAAATAACATTGATACCCGAGATTTTAATGAACAGAAGAGTCCTTCCTGCACATAGACGTCCACTAAATGGCAACAGGTGGTTTCATTCGATAAATCATGTTTTATGCTCTATAGAAATTATGGGCATTGGCGTATACGGCGAGATATATCGAAAAGCTAACACCCTGCAACAATTGCCTAATGGCTCCAAGGATGTAAGGTTGGATGGCACCACATTCAACCTTACATGCAAATGGTTTTTCCTCGTATACCAGCAAGAAAATGCAACGTGTTATAGATTGCAGTGCAGTTGCGTGATTCGAAGAGCATTAGTAAACTGTGTAGCATGCCACAAAAAAATTTAGCAGTCTACAGAGTATGGATAGTATAAAGAATTTATTTTATGACTTTATGAAATACATACATAATTACAAGAAAGTTGTAAATAATTAATTAAATGTGCCTTTTCATAACTAAGATGTATGTACTGGAACTAGCAAGCCTATTTTTAATAAGATTAGTATCAAAAGTATATTTGCTTTTTATTATAACACATTTAATTCCAGTGTAGAATTGTATGAGTAATTAAATGCTCAATAGAAAAATGCTGATGATATTGCAAAGAACTCTGCTAGGCAAATAAATTAATGTGAAGTGAATTTACCAAAATAAATTATCACTATTTTGAAAATTTTTAACATAACTAATGTACAAATATTTTGCCTAAGTATTTAAAATTACAATAAGCATTTTCATTGATAAAATCTAACCCTCACTCACATAGTGTATAACTCTAAGTACAACATCATTACCAAAAGACTAGTAAATGTTCATGTATAAAAAAAAGCAAGGGAAAAAGCAAGTTATAGAATCGGGCAAACCTCTTTCTTGCATAGAAAATAATTTCATAATAAGATTGTAAAAAACACGCCCTCGTAAATTTTACAAAAGACTAAGTAGCAATTACTTTAAACGTTAAGATTGTTAATTTGGCAAATTTTATGGCACCTAAGTTAAATTTAATGACGGAAAATAGAGATTTAAAACACAAAAGAGGAAAAAGGCGAGACATAGAAATAAGCAAACCACATTTTTACTGTGAGGGTGCAGAAAATTATATTACAATTAGATTGTCAAATATGCTCTTATAGTTGCCGAAAGGATAGGAAAAAATCCAGATTTCACAACTTACTAAATTCAGTAGATTTTACAAAAAAAATTAAACTTATAAACTTCATGAGAATTGTTGCGTTATGTACAAAATATTTTGCACATAGGGAATTTTAGAATTATGGAATTAGGAAAACTGCAATATTATCCAGTTATNTGTCATATAACCCATCATTTGACGGGTTATTCAAAATTGTGTTTTGTTCATTAAATTAAAGTGCCGATGTAAAAAAAAAACATTTTTACATGGCCAATAGAGTATTCGTACATAGAATCAGGTAAAAATTTCAATTTAAATGAGCTTCAAAAATTCATATTTTCTTATTTTGTCTAGAAAGTTGGCATATAACAAATAAAAATTAAGGTATCAAAACATTAAAAAAAAAAAAATAATATCACAAACACAAAAAAAAAAATTCTTGGCGATTAATTCTGATCAATAACAGATAAGTAAAATCGGAAACGTTTCCTAAATCTGCATTATATAATTCCTGATCTCACAATGTTAGCCCTTTCACTTGACTTAAAGGATAGTTTTTTTATAAAATAAAACTTTGAAAGTTTCCAGCATACTTTCCCAACAGTTTCAGATCTTGCTTCGGCTCAAGCAGAAATTTCAATTCCAAAAACACATGCTGAAAGTAAAAACATGTTTTGCTCTTGTTCTTTTATATGGAAGGTAAGTGTAAAAGATATTTTTTCTTTGAATATTCTAAAAACATGGCTAAGCAAACTACTTACTTTCATACACTACCTTACAATAATGGAAGAGACAGTTTCAGTTTTTGGGTTTTTTCAAATAATACTAGAATTATTTTATAGCTTTAGAAGTGCTTAGATTATGTGATTACTAATACTTATCAACAAAGTTAAAAGTTTCTGGAAGGTTTGAGAACCAACAAAAAATTATTAACAAAAAAAGGTGAATTTAAAAAAAAAAACAATGTCAGGAACATAGCTACCAACTGAACTGGTTAGTCGCATTGATTACTCTGGTTATTGCATGAAATTTTGAAAAGCTAGCTAAAACATTCAAAGAGATTTTAAAGTTGAAAAAAATCTTTTTTCCATGTTTTCTTATTATAACTGTAACAATATTCAAGTAAATTAAACAAAATATTTACTATAAAAAATTTTAATAACAGAGATAATAAAAAATTTCGTGCAGATATGAGCATTTAAAATATCTTTTTACACTGTGCATGATGAAAAAAAAAAAAAAACTTCATAATTTAGATGTGCATCGTATTCAGTAACTTATGAAAAAATCTGGTGGGAATATCTTGAAAATTTAAAAAGTTTCTAATGATTTGCTAAGTATTTTTTTAAAAGAATGCTCTGAATTACAAAGGGTTCATATTTAGTATGGGGCACGATTGCTTCATGAAATAACATTGATACCCGAGATTTTAATGAACAGAAGAGTCCTTCCTGCACATAGACGTCCACTAAATGGCAACAGGTGGTTTCATTCGATAAATCATGTTTTATGCTCTATAGAAATTATGGGCATTGGCGTATACGGCGAGATATATCGAAAAGCTAACACCCTGCAACAATTGCCTAATGGCTCCAAGGATGTAAGGTTGGATGGCACCACATTCAACCTTACATGCAAATGGTTTTTCCTCGTATACCAGCAAGAAAATGCAACGTGTTATAGATTGCAGTGCAGTTGCGTGATTCGAAGAGCATTAGTAAACTGTGTAGCATGCCACAAAAAAATTTAGCAGTCTACAGAGTATGGATAGTATAAAGAATTTATTTTATGACTTTATGAAATACATACATAATTACAAGAAAGTTGTAAATAATTAATTAAATGTGCCTTTTCATAACTAAGATGTATGTACTGGAACTAGCAAGCCTATTTTTAATAAGATTAGTATCAAAAGTATATTTGCTTTTTATTATAACACATTTAATTCCAGTGTAGAATTGTATGAGTAATTAAATGCTCAATAGAAAAATGCTGATGATATTGCAAAGAACTCTGCTAGGCAAATAAATTAATGTGAAGTGAATTTACCAAAATAAATTATCACTATTTTGAAAATTTTTAACATAACTAATGTACAAATATTTTGCCTAAGTATTTAAAATTACAATAAGCATTTTCATTGATAAAATCTAACCCTCACTCACATAGTGTATAACTCTAAGTACAACATCATTACCAAAAGACTAGTAAATGTTCATGTATAAAAAAAAGCAAGGGAAAAAGCAAGTTATAGAATCGGGCAAACCTCTTTCTTGCATAGAAAATAATTTCATAATAAGATTGTAAAAAACACGCCCTCGTAAATTTTACAAAAGACTAAGTAGCAATTACTTTAAACGTTAAGATTGTTAATTTGGCAAATTTTATGGCACCTAAGTTAAATTTAATGACGGAAAATAGAGATTTAAAACACAAAAGAGGAAAAAGGCGAGACATAGAAATAAGCAAACCACATTTTTACTGTGAGGGTGCAGAAAATTATATTACAATTAGATTGTCAAATATGCTCTTATAGTTGCCAAAAGGATAGGAAAAAATCCAGATTTCACAACTTACTAAATTCAGTAGATTTTACAAAAAAAATTAAACTTATAAACTTCATGAGAATTGTTGCGTTATGTACAAAATATTTTGCACATAGGGAATTTTAGAATTATGGAATTAGGAAAACTGCAATATTATCCAGTTATGATTAACAACATTAAATGAACTTCAAATGTTATGCATAATGTTTACTCATAATTTTGAGTAGTAATTAGCATTTAATTCACCAAAGATAGTTAAAACTTATTAAATTTTAGGGAATTTTCTCAAATTTACAAAAACTGGGAGAATTTTTATTAAACCAGTAGATCAAGAGAAACTGACAAAATCCAGTAGTCTAGTGAAAAATACAGTTCCAGAGCTGGCAGCTCTGTGCCCTTTTTAAGTTGTTAGAAAAGACTAAGATACAATGACAATGTAAAGCAATAATAAGGTAATGCCAATTTTGCAATTTGACAAAATTATGACAGTGAAAATTTGGCAAAATTTACTGCAGATTAATTCAATTTAGAAATATGTACAATGTAATACTTTAGCTACATGAGAATTTAAGTGAACTCGTAAATAAGAAAAGTAAACTACTAGAATACTTTTTTTTTTTAAGATTTGAAATAAAGCAAACATATCAAATATATAATAAGGTTATAGCAACAAAAAAAAACTCTCAAAATTCACAAATTTATTATTAATAAAATAACACATATTAATTCTTAAAAGTAATAATTACAGAAACTAGTAAAGATGGAGACTTTTGATTAGTTACTGACAATGATTGCCCTTATTAGGACAGGAATAAATATGCAAAATTTACAAACTAAATTTGCTGGAACACATATATAAATCATTATCAGCATTACATGAAGATCTTATTCAAAATGTTAAAAAACATTCAATATGTTTTGGCAGAAGATAAGGATCAAGGGTCAAATGTTAGTATGAAATCACCTGGAAATATTGGTTACAGACATCAAACGACCCTTCGACGTTTAGAAGGCAGAATATTTTCTTGGCAGATGTCTGAGCTAGTATTTTTCCCATGACCTTGTTTATCTTCTGCATCCTGGCGTCATGATGGCAGAACTTCTTTAATTTTTCGTTTAGAATTTTCAGAGATCTCATTGGGAAAATTTATTTGAAATTTGACTATTAGATCCCCTCTACGTTCACTGTCTTTAGGATAGGGAAGACCCTTGTTCACAAAACGATGTTCAGATTCAGGATTAGTTATTTCCGTAAGATTGAGCAAGAGACTCTCACCAGTTAATGTCGGAATTTCCAATGTAGCTCCACAAAGTGCCTAAAAGGAGAATTTAAATTTTTAAACAAATGTAATATTTTATACACGAACATAGATTACAGTCCATTATTTTTTCTTCTGCTTAAGTCGGGGGATTGGCCTCAAATTTGCTGATTTGCAAGAGAAGAGGCCCGTTCGAGAAAATCTGCAATTTAAGAGTTAAAGGGAAAGGTCCTTTTCAAGATCCACACACAACAGATATTACTGTACTTTTTAGTCTATTCTTATTCAAAAGCATATTTAATATTACATATTTGCCAACTCATCCGCATTTTGAGAAAGATTTTATATTTAATGTGGTAATTCTTGGGGAGGTTGCTGCTCAGCTCTGCGTGTGTGGCGCCCAGTCTACATCAACCAGGATTTTCCCTGGAGGTGCTTTTGCCTCTCATGCCCATTATTCCGACGTGTTGCCATGAATCGTCACCAGGCCTACCTTTGTGAATCCTCTTTTTTCTTGCTGAGTAGTTACGTGCACGTACTTTGAGTCTACAGCATTTCCCGGATGCCCCCTGATGGGGGCGGGACGGGGTTAAGCTTTGATTGATTTAATGTGGTAGCAAAATTTCTAGATTCATACTTGATTCTAATTTTAACAAATTTAATTAAAATGGCGTTAACATCTATAAAAGTAGTTAAAACATACTTAAGACATACTACATTCAATATCATTCTTATAGCAGGCCTACTAGATATTATTTATGTTGCTAGCAGTAGTTAAATGTGTAATGGATGTCTGCCATGGGTGCAAGTTGGAAAAAAGGACAAGACTGAAATTTTTTTGACTGAAATACCTAACATACACAATACCCCCTCGACATATGCAAACTATCTAAGAAAGCTTTACCATAATACATCAAGTTTAAATACTGTACAAAAAATATTTATTCATCTGTCTTTTGATAAAATAACAACAAGATATAAGAAAGTAGACCATTAATGTAGACCTAAAAATATTTTTAAGGACAGAAATTTTTTTTTTCTTCCGATTTCCGTCTTCGAGTCAGTCTTGTTTCCGTCCGCGGACATTTTCGAAAGACTGAAATCAGTCCTGGGGACGGAAGACTTGCACCCATGATGTCTGCTTACAATGGTTTTCAATAGGCATAAAAGTTGCCAGATATGAAAACAACAGTTGAACATTTAATTCATTATCAAAAGTAGAAAATTTAGGCCTTAGACCTAAAAACCAGAAAACAGATATTACTAGTTTGTACACATTTTCAATGGTTTGTTAACATGCCTAGATTAAATTTTGTATAAAAAAAAGTTAATGAATTGAATTTAAATAAAAAAAAAATTACAATAAACAGAATATGAAACGTCACAATCATGATGAAATATACTTTTTGGTCACCAACACAGATAAAAGTATACCATCCCTTCACATTCAATACTGATTCTGCCTGAGGACCACTGATAACTGTTTTATGGTAGTCAGAGTGAAAAATTTAGTAGTCATGGACCACAGTTAATTTCGAATTCTGATAGTGCATTAGAAATAGCTAAAATTCTAATTTAAAAATTTATCTAGGGAAATAACGCATGTAAGTTATTATTCAATTTTAAAAATAAACTAAATAAAAGTAATAAAAACCTTTAAAGTATTATAATTTTCCTTTCGCCACAAGTAAAATAATTTGCTGTTTAATACAAATATTTCAGCTAAGCCCACTTAGTTTTATTTAAATTCNTAACAAGATTTATGAAAAGTTTTTATAATGAAGCGAGGAAGAAATTTAAGTGGAGCGGGTGGCTCACGGAATAGCGATTATTATATGAAGCGTTTACGCACGATCAATAGTATAGGAACGAAATCAATTAAAAAAAAATTTCAGTCTGAAAAAACTGAGGAGAAACCGTCACAACAGTCGCCGTCTGAAAAAACCGTCACAGTTGATAACGAGGCACAATGTATTAAAAATGCTACGGAACCAATGATTGAAGAGCAAAACAATTCAAGTTTTGTTACAAAAAAAAAAANACTTAATTTTCACAAAAATAAAAAAAAATTTCACAAAAATAATTTTTTTCACAAAAATAGGTACTAGGATTGAAAACCTGGATTAAGCCCTGTAAGCACATAGCTAATAGCACAATTAATATCCTGAAGTACTTCCCAAAAAATTAACATGCATCATTTGTAATTTTATACCATAGGCCAGGGAAGGCGAACCAATGCCACGCGTGCCACTTATGGCACCCGACACAAAATTTCGGGCACGCCACCGGTCACATTTGTTATTAGACAAATGGTATTACACTATGAAGCATATGTAACAATTAAATTAAAATTCACAAAAAACACACAAAATAATAAACAATTATCAATACAAAAATTAACAATTAATGCTAAAAAAAACAATTAATAACCATAGAAAACAAGCTAACAATAAATAACTAGCAAAAAATTAATAGTCCTGCTTAAACTTACATCCTACAACCTAATATAAGTTATTTGTCATCTAATCTGCAACAACAGAAGTCACACTGATGTTACTTTAAGTTGAATTACGCGTATAACTGAGACATTGCAAAATGTTTTTTTTTTTTTCAATGTAAATAAAGAGTTTTGAGTTGATAGTATTTATTATTATTTTCCCAATAATCACGAAGTCAAAATTATTTGACGGCCCGTCCATGACCTCATCAAGCAATTTTTTAGAAAAAATGGCACGTTGGTGTATAAAGGTTCGCCACCCCTGCCATAGGCATTGGGGTAGAATTACATAAATATAAAAACCAATCATAAATAATTTCAAATGAAATTGATGCTTTACCTGATTACAGAGTTGGCATGATTTAAATTATGTAATTTTTTTAAAAAAAATCCTTAATTTAAGTCAAAAATATTTTTAATTATAAAGATACTCTTAAGAGTGCATCGATAAATTTATGTGATTTTCTTTTCTAAGTCTTATTTTCTTCTTATTTAAAGTTTTATCGAGGGAAATCATGCATGTAAGTTATTATTTAATTTTAAAAATAAACTAAAAAAACTTTAAAGTATTATAATTTTCCTTTCGCCACAAGTAAAATAATTTGTTGTTTAATACAAATATTTCAGTTAAACCCACTTAGTTTTATTTAAATTCCAATACTTTTGAAACATTAAATACGTAGTTTGCATATAAAAACAAGGAAGAAAGACTTGTTCACTCAAGGATAATTTGATTCATGTTTCCTGATCTAAATTATTTTTTTTCCCTACTTAACATTTGTCAAATTGGACCTTTGTCTTTACGAATAGCATAGGTTGTTTGATAGTGAGCTTAAACAAAAATAACCACAATCTAAATTTCGGAATGATTAGTTTTGAATACTTAGTTAATAACTGTAATAACTATATGCAAACTAATTTTAACCATAAGAGTTAGAATCATTTATAGCAATTTTAGTGTAATTATTTAATGAATTTTAAAGTTTTTAAATAACATTAACCTTTATTATATTTTATCTGAGTTCTTATTGGTAAATGTGAGAAAAAAACGGATCTAAATAGAATAAAAAATCAGATTTTTATGCTGTCCCACTTTTTCTATCAAACCTAACCACCTGTATCCTTTGTAACTTTCTAATTTTTACACCAGATGGATACTACACAACAATTTGCATAGCTCCTCCATGCCCTTTAGGTTTCTTTTGTCATAAGACACCAGCAAAAGACAGACTGCTTTTAAAGCTCATTTCCTCTGGTTTGTTCCTTCTTTCCTAGTTAAGGGTTTCTTTTTTGACCTATTGCACACTAAAGATATTGTCTTCCAATGATATATTTTCCCTTAATGTAGCATCAAAATTTGTATGCAATATCACTTAAACATATTTCCAAATTTTTACTGATTACAGTATCATCATTAAGTTTTTTTTCTTCTTTATATCTGTTTTTTTGGAATAACACAACAATATAATGGAGCAAAATTTTAGAAAATGTATAAAAGAATCCTTTAATTGGTTTTTCAGAAAAATTCACCACATAATGGCATGTTATTTTTTACTTTTAATATATGCATTCTCATATTAATTTTTCAAATTTTTATGGCTCCTTTCATAAAGACGTAAAATCTCAAATTTAGGGAAAATTAAATCAATTATTTTATTCAATAATAAATTTCATATTAGTTTGGAAATCAAGAAAATTTTGTCAGAATAAAAATTTTTGATTCATGGAATTCCTCGAATCAAACATTTTAGCAGCACAATAAGAGACGTTTATAACTTTCTCTGGATGATAGGAATGCATTGACTACTTATTTGTGCCATAAAGTTCATTTTATGTATTTTTATTGAAACTTTTAAAAAAATATGTCTTAGAAACAGTTTTATAAGTTATGCATGTTATAATATAAAGGAAAGAAATTGATTAAAAAATGCAAATAAAATTGAGTGATGTTAACGTAATCTCCTCGATTGTTCTTTAATAGAATAAAGTAAAATTTCTGTTAAAGGGAGATTATTGTCATTGAAATATTAATACTGTGTGCTGTTATTATAAATAATAATAAAAACTCATATTCTTCTGCTTATCAGTAATAGAAGTCAGTGTGAAAAACTATTTGTGGAGTTTTCGTCGAGAAAATATAAATTTTCTCCACATCTTTTTTTTTTTTTTCCTTTGGAGTTATGCAGTAGACTGCACAAAGGTAAAAGCTAATTTAATTTTTTAAAAAAATCTGATTAAAAAAAATATTTCCACTGATTTCAGTAAATTTTAACCAGTGAAAAACTATGTGTGGAGTTTCTGTCAAGAAAATATACATTTTCGCCGCATCTTTTTCTTTTGGAGTTCTGCAGTAAACTACACAAAGGTAAAAGCCAATTTAATTTTTTTTTTAAAAAGTCTGATTTTTAAAAAAAAAAATTCCACTGATTTCAGTAAATTTAAACCACTATGTCCCCCAAAATAAAAGCAAATTTACTTTGAATAAAATACTTACTTGTTTCAATGTAATATTACAGGTATACACTATATTAGTTCCATCTCTCTCAAAATGCACATGTGGCTTATCTTTGATAATAAATATGATATCAGCAGGAATGGTATCAGGATTTCTGTCACCCTCTTCTTTGAATGTTATCTTAGTGCCGGCTTTCCAACCAGGTTTGACATTAATAGTCAAAACCTTATTATCTCTTCTAGTTACTCCGTGATTAACAAAATTTCTCTCTATTCTCATTTTCTTTGTGCAGCCTATCAAAACATCTTCTAATGACACTAAGAGGTCGTGATAAATAGGCGGGTCCTTTACAGGAGGTTCTTTTCTTTTAGGTTTTGCACGTGGGCATCTAGTTGATTGAGCTCGTTGAAAATGCCTGTAGTTAGGTTTCTCAAACATATTTCCATTGGCTCCAAAAAACAAATTAAAACCTGAAATATGAACACAATTTAAAAATAATGTAAAAATACACTTAAATAATCTAAAAATAAAAGACAGCATTAAGGTTATTCTAATATTATGCAATTTTACACCTTCCCTCACCTTGTCAGCAGAATCAAGCAAATCACAAACTTTAATTAGTACGCTTAGGTAAGAACCTTCTCTAAAACACCTTCTCTTTTTGCTTCAATTTTGACATTCATTAATAATTTGTGTCTTCTATTTGTGGTCAAAATGCTCGGTCTTTGATTTGTTTCTAACTGTTCCTTACCTCAATTGAGAAATTTCTGAGTCTGATTTTTTTCAAATTTTTTTTCCTTTAAATTAAAAAAATTGAAAATATACAATGCAGATTTTAGTCAGGGTTGTAAGTGACCAGAGTTTTTTCAGAAATAATAATAATAAAAAAAACTACTGGACTCTACTTATCAAGATTTAATTGGGATTTTTTTAAAATTCTTTACAGTCTTAGAGTAAGTCTTGCTGCATTAATAAATACCATTAATATAATTGTGTTAATTTAGCTCTATATTTTTATATATATACATATAAAGCATTTTCAATAACAAGACTCGTGGGTCTGAGAATTTAAAATATATTTTTATAAAAAGTTTTCTCATTTTTTTGAATTGTTCACTATCAGTTTTCAATAAATTTCCGGTTGTTAAATGAAGGGCTATTTGAAAATTTTAACCACAGTAAGTGAATCTCTAGTAAGTACAAAAAAAAAATTCACACTAATAATAGAATAAATAATAATTAAAGAACTGTAACAAAAAAGATTATCTTGCACATATCTGTAGAAAAACTCCCAAAATTCACTTTTGATACTTACGTCCAACAACAAAATACATAATTTAATTGAACTGTGCCAGTAGGATTTAATTAATTAAATTATTTTTTTCTGTTTAAAGCAAGATTCTAAGCCTTATTTGTATACTTTGATTTAGAAAATAATAAATATTTTGATTGTAAATTAATTATTTCTTAGTCCGACACCACTCCTTTTCTTTCATTATATTTTTCATCTATTATGTCGATTTTTCTTAATAAAATAAAGTGAAAAACGAACAGAAACTATCTAAATTATCTTTAAAGTTAATTTAGAATAATGCACTTTACCTCAGTAACCTAATAAAATCCACTTAATTATGCTGTACTTAAAAATATTTAAAATTGATCAATGAAGTTTGTTTATATATCTTCTATTTTCTTTCCTTCTCTATTTTTTTTTCTTCTTTCAGGTAAGCAAAGCAATTTGAATTTTTTGAGAAATAAAATATTTAACTTCATTTAGAAAAGTTTAAATTAATTATTTTGTTTAGAAGAACTTGAAAAGTGTATGTATTTGGAGCAAAACTATTTTAGAACATTTTGTANTTTTTTTTTTTTTTTTTTTTTTTTTTTTTTTTTTTTTTTTTTTTGAGGAAAGCAACTTAGGTCCATATTCAGAAAAATGATTTTAAGTTTAAGCACATGCTTATACTTTGGTTA